GGCAGAACTGGAATACCAATCTGGCTAGTTATGGAAATGTTTTGTGGAATGCCGGCTGTTTGTCTACTTACTGGGACAACGATAGCAATTATTATAATGCAATGATTGCTCTGCAGCAAAATCTCGCACTTCAGGTAACTTTAAACTCGAAGGGTTGAGTTACTATTCTAAATATTAACATGTAAACCCATTATAGAATCAGGCTATTTGGAATAATATAGCCGCTGCTAATCAGCAAGCTGCAGCACATGCCAATGCGCTGTATCTACAGACTGCAACCCAAAATGCGCTGACAACATTCAATTCGGCAGCATGCCAGATTAATACAGCGTATGGAGCACAGTTGAGATGGAATAGTGTTTCGGGAACTTCATGGAACTGTTGAGGCTTATATTGAACTGAATTCCTTGGCATATCATCCAATATGCAGAATGATTAAATAAAGTTTGAAGTTGGTTCAGATCTTGTCGATATATTATCATGACATTGGCTGAGCGGTAAGTAGTGTTGGCTAGAATGATAGTATTCAGCCATTGCTACGTGTAAATGGTTTGTATTAACGATGCTCATGCTGCATTCGCCTCAAGGTTTGCATTGATTGAAAGGGATAGAGCTGTTGCTGCCAAGACTCGAGCAGTTCATCCATCATCCTCTACAACTGTTCAGAAAAGACTTGAGCCATCCACTTTTAACAAAAGACTTGATGCAAAGACTGCTGCAACTCTCTTGAAGCAGCAACAACAGACTGGTCATAAAATGTCCAATTCTGCTGCCAGTATGATGACCAAGCAAAGTAATGGTCGTACTAAAGCATCCAAGACCATTTCAGTGGTCAAACCCCTTGTAAAGCGTCTTGGACCCAAACCAGGTCCAATTGAGAATCGTCTTGGCAAGCGGCTTATTGACCGGTTAGGTGATAAACCCACTGCTGCTGGAAAGACTAAAGCTGTATTACGCTCCAAGAAAGCAGGAAAGGTATCCAAGACTATAGTATCCAACTCGACTCCTAAAAGCAAGACTCGAGGACGTGTTGCTAATATTGGCTCATCCAGTTATTCTGCAGCAGATATGATGGATGATGACGATTACAAATTTGGTCAAGCTGCAATATATTAATTCTCGATATTTCAAGATTATAATTAGACTGGTTCATTACTATGGTTGCAGCTGTGGAGTGGATCTCTATTGCAGTGTGGATGGATGCGCAATCATTACTGCACGATAAGCCTTCAACATGCTTCGACTCGTGCATTACAAAGTATCGGGTGAAATTGCCATAGATTCAAGTGGTGCATGTGTTGCTTGATCAACAGACTCACCCCAATCACTTGCCGGATCTTGTTGATCAGTAGTTGTTGCATACTCGATAGAAAGCCGAGCCGATTCCTTATTAGACCGTGTCGGCTTGTCCTTGTCTGAATCAAAACAAATGATGCTATCGGCTGCATATACTTTTGTCTCTGTGGACTCCTGTTTTTGCTGATGTGCACAATCACACAAGTCTTTTAGCTCGTCTTTGTGCATATTGACATACTCGACGGCTGTACATGCCGCTGCTTTTTTGGCATCGCGTTGCCCAGTGCCGAGACATTGAGCCAATACCATGTTGTGATACGTGATAGTTGCGGTAGTACCTCCATGTAGACCATATTCATATCTGAATGTTTTGTTTTTAAAAATAGTTGGATTTCAGTACTTTTTGGCAATTGTATTCAACAGAAATGCAGACAATAGATTTGTAGTTGTCAAATTTACCCGACAAAAAACATACGTGTAATCTATCTTGACACATTTAAACAATGAATAGGACAAGGTTCGCAATTCAGCAACTGGGTTTTCGTATATCATTGATTCTCCACCAAACAGCGATGTGAATCGCCACCACCAAGGTGAGATCACTGTGATGTCAAACATGCTTTGCACGCAGTGTATATCAAATTGAGAATCTACAAATACAGCACCTAGCATGGACTCGTAAACATCACCTGCAGTTTTTGGTGCTGTATTTCCCTTGTTCCAAAACATTCGAGCAGAGGCAATTTGAGTAGCTGACGTCGATATTGGTAATGGAGTAGATGATTCAGATGCGAGATAGCCTTGAACCCATGCAGTAAACCGCCCGATTGCTGCTTCCATAGTCATATCTGTATGGCGTATATACTTTACCAACCCAATTTGAATTGACACACATGCCAGAAATTGATTGCAAACAAGCTCAGCGCAAAGTTTTGATAATCCACCTGGATTCAACGGTGGTGTAATTTTATACAAATGTTGCATTACAAGGTAAGAAAGCACTGCATCTCCTAAAAATTCAAGCCGTTGAAACATGCTACCCAGTTTTCCCGTTCCTGAATGGTTATAGTCCATGATATCAACGAGTTTATGCATACTGCCTACACCACACACATCAAACTGGTTTAGTGATATGCGAGTATTGCGGTTTGACCAAATCACAATCACCCATATTGTCGACTGTCCAACTCGTTGACATTCAAACCGTGCCATCACTAGTCACAATATAATGGTTGAC